GGATGTTGAATATTGGCCCCCACTCTCTTCTGGCTTGTAGAGTTTCTGCCGAGAGATCTGCTGTAAGTCTGATGGGCTTCCCTTTGTGGGTGACCCGACCTTTCTCTCTGGCTGCCCTTAGTATTTTCTCCTTTATTTCAACCTTGTTGAATCTGATGATAATGTGCCTTGGGGTTGCTCTTCTTGCGGAATATCTTTGTGGTGTTCTCTGTATTTCCTGCAATTGAGTGTTGGCCTGTCTTGCTAGGTGGGGGAAATTTTCCTGGATAATGTCCTGAAGAGTATTTTCCAGCTTGGATTCATTCTCTTCGTCACATTCTGGTATGCCTATCAAACGTAGGTTAGGTCTCTTCACATAGTCCCACATTTCTTGGAGACTTTGTTCATTTTTTTTTTGCACTTTTTTCTCTGATCTTGGTTTCTCATTTTATTTCATTGAGTAGATCTTCAACTTCTGATATTCTTTCTTCTGCTTGGTCAATTCGGCTATTGAAACTTGTGCATGCTTCGCGAAGTTCTCGTATTGTGTTTTTCAGCTCCTTTAATTCATTCATATTCCTCTAAGGTAACCATTCTTGTTATCATATCCTCAAATTTTTTTCAAGGTTCTTAGTTTCTTTGCATTGATTTAGAACATGTTCTTTTAGCTCACAAAAGTTTCTCATTATCCACCTTCTGAAGTCTAATTCTGTCATTTCGTCACAGTCATTCTCCATCCAGCTTTGTTCCCTTGCTGGTGAGGAGTTTTGGTTCTTTCTAGGTGGTGAGGTGTTCTGGTTTCAGGTGTTTTCCTCCTTTTTGCGCTGGTATCTTTCCATCTTTGTGAATTTATCCACCTGTCGTCTGTGTAGTTGCTGACTTTTCGATTGGGTCTCTGAGTGGACACCCAGATTGTTGATGATGAAATATTTCTGTTACTTGGTTTTCCTTCTACCAGTCTAGCCCCTTCACTGTACGACTGCTGAGGTCCACTCCAGGCCCTGCTTGTCTGGGGTGCACCTATAGCAGCTGTGGAACAGCGAGGAATGATATCAGTTTCTTTTTCTGCTATCTTTGTCCCAGAATGATGCCTGCCAAATGTCAGTCTTTTGGATATAGAGGGGTCAGGGAGCTGCTTGAAGAGACAGTCTGTACTTTGTAGGGGCTCAAGTGCTGAGCTGTGAGCTCTGTTGTTCATTCAGGGCTGTTAGGCTGCTATGTTTAATTCTGCTGCAACATAACTCATAAAAAAATCCTTTTTTTCTCAGATGCTCTGTGTGGGGGGGTGGTTGGGGCTTTCCTTGTGAGTGTCCACCTCGCTGTCCTGCCCAGCTAGGAGGCAATCTAGTCACCATTTGCCTGCTGAGGCTCTGCCCTGCTTGTGTGAGGTTCGCCCTGTTGCTGCAGGCTCTGTCCTTCTGCTGTGGTCTCCACCCTGTTGCCACGGGCTACGCCCTGCGGGCGGAGTCTCTCTGTTGTACCGGGTTGCCTCGGCATTGGCAGGCTTCATCAGCAATGGGCGTGTACCTCAGTAGGGGCTGATTGCCTTGGTAATGGCAGACGCCCCTCCCCCACGGAGCTGCGCTTTAAGAAAACCTCCTCACCGGGAGCGTTTGGAATCGCCGTTTTGTTTGTCGCACTGTGCTACCCCAAACGCTGTGTCCCTGGGATTTCCCGGGCTGGCTCACTGTCCAAGTTCCATTCAGTCTCAAGTTAAGCCCTCTCAGGTCTCAGTTTGCCAGTTCAACAGGGCACCCGTAACAGTGCGCTTTTTTATGGAGCGCTGTGGAGCGCCTCTGCGCTCCGGCGTGGGCTGCAGCTGCACCGGCTGCCAGCTACACCAGCCAGGACCTCTGCCTGGCGTCCTGCGTCTCTTTTATACCTGGGAATTTCCCCGTTCTGTGGGCAACTAATATCCGTCTGGAAATGCGTCCCCAACTCACCCCCTCCATGCATCCAGCGAGAGCTTCAATCCTGGGTTGTTCTCACAGCGCCATCTTGAGTCCTCCAGCTTCAAAATATTTCTATTGCTCTTACAATCAACTGTTTTTTTTTTTTTTTTGAGACGGAGTTTCGCTTTTGTTACCCAGGCTGGAGTGCAATGGCGTGACCTCAGATCACCGCAACCTCTGCCTCCTGGGTTCAGGCAATTCTCCTGCCTCAGCCTCCTGAGTAACTGGGATTACAGGCACACACCACAGTGCCCAGCTAATTTTTTTGGCACTTTTAGTAGAGATGGGGTTTCACCATGTTGACCAGGATGGTCTCGATCTCTTGACCTCGTGATCCACCCGTCTCAGCCTCCCAAAGTGCTGGAATTACAGGCTTGAGCCACCGTGCCTGACACCTCTTACAATCAACTTTTAAATTTTGTGACAGACTTTAAAGCTTTACCTCGAGGTTCTCAAACATTTTAGTTTCTAGAACTCTTTAAACTCTTAAAGATCACTGAGGACCTCTAAGAGATTTTTATCTTGTAGGTTATATCTATTGATATTTAGTAAATTAAGAATTAAAACTCAGAATCATAAAATATTTATTAATTTAAAATAATAATAACATAACATTTATATATAAATATATAAAAACAATAACTATTTTCTGAAATAAAAATAATTTAGTGAGGAAAATGACATTATTTTATACTTTTGCAAATCTCTTTTATGTTCAGTTTAATAGAAGACAATTGAATTTTTTTTTTTTTGGCTTATAAGTAACAAAATTTATTTCTTACAGTTATGGAGGCTGGAAAGGTCGAGGTCAAGACACCAGCAGATTCAGTGTCTGGTGAGGGCTGTCCTCTTGGTTCAGGGATGGCACCTGCTTATTGCATCCTCAGATAGTGAGAGAGACAAGGAGTCCCTCTTGGCCTCTTTTATAAGGACACTAAGATTATTCACGACCTTATCATCTTCCCAAGGCCCATCCTCCTAATATCATCAACTCAGGAGTTAGGATTTCAACATATGAATTTTGGCTCACATTCAGACCACGGCAGTCTTTTGAAAAATTTGTATGTCTTATAAATTTGTTTAAGTTCTTTGTAGATTCTGGTTATTAGCCCTTTGTCATATGGGTAGATTGCAAAAAATTTTTCCCATTCTGTTGGTTGCTGGTTCACTCTAATGATAGTTTCTTTTGCTGTGCAGAAGCTCTTAAGTTTAATTAGATCCCATTCTCAGCAAGCTAACACAAGAAGAATAAACCAAACACTACATGTTCTCACTCATAAGTGGGTGTTGAACAGTGAGAACAGGTGGACACAAGGAGGGAAACATCACACACCGGGGCCTGTCGGGGCGGGGGTAAGGGGATTAGGGGAGGATTAGCAGGAGGTGGGGGAATTGGGGAGGGATAACATTAGGAGAAATACCTAATTTAGATGACAGGGGATGGATGCAGGAAACCACCTTGGCATATGTATACCTATGTAACAAACCTGCACTTTCTGCACATGTACCCTACAATTTAAAGTATAATAATAAAAAAAGGAAAAAATTATATATCAATTGATTTAATACTTAGATAATTGTATTTCTTTGTTATTTCTAACAATTGGATTTTCATAACTGCTTCCGCATTTAGTCTATTGTGATATTAAACACCACTCAGCCTCTGGACATCTCCACTGCACACTTGTGTGAGAAGAAGATTCTAAAAGGCAATTAACATCTTAGTGCTATTATGAAAAAAGTATACTTTCTCAGCCCCTGTGGGACATTCCTGAAAACCTCCAGGAATCCTCAGGCCACTCTCTAAGGACTGCTGTTCCACCTGTATGTGTAACTGCTGCTTTTACTTATTTTTCCTGCCTTAATTCACCCTCCATCACCCTCCTCCTGCCTTAATTCCACCTCCCTTGCTTTCTGCCCTCCAGATGAAGTAGCCTTTTTGTTTCCTGAAACATACTCATTTTTTCTAACCTCAGAACATTTCGACATGTCACCTGGACTTGTCCATTTTTTAAAATCTCTATGATTTGCCCCTACCCCTTGATTAAATCACTCTTACTCAGATTTTAGGTTCAATGTCTTTTCTTCAGGGGAGATTTCTCCTGATTGATTCCCTTTGCTATATATGATCCAAAAGTACTTTACTTTTTCTTCTTATTTCTGATTGTCATTATATATTTACATATGCAATTATTTGATTAAACCTATTTTTCTCAGCAGGTTTAAATTTCTTGGTGTCTTAACATATCTTAACCGTATCTCTTTTGTTCATTTTATTCCTGAAATATTAAAGTTTGATCAATAAATGTTTGTTGATTAATGCACACATGAATAAAAGAATGAGTTACTCAAAAGCGGAACACCCTGCCTTTTTGACATTTAAATGATTCTGTTAATCATTTTTAGAACATATTTATCAGATTTGCAAATAATTTGAAGCTAGGGAATATAGAAAGTATCTTAAATGACAAAATTGGGATGAAAAAATAAACCCACTAAATGATTGGGACTTTCAACCCCCAGAATCAAGTAGGAGGTCTTTCACACAATGGTTTCACAATAATGTGGAATCAAATATAATTGTGTTTTCATTTGTTTCTGTTATTGATTCAGTCTCAATATTCTGTATATTTCATGTATCAGAACAACAAATATCATGAGGAAGTAGCAGGAACCACCTAACTCCTTATAAAGTTATAGATTAGGAACTTTGATGTGAGATTGCTGAAAACTGAAATAATGCTTAGTTCCTTGAGCTATTTAGGTATAAACACATATCTCGAATAGTACTTGTTTTTGATGTTACTTATCTAAAGAATGAAAAACAAATTTGTGGTTTTCAAAACTCTTCTGTGTCGAAAAGGCATGCTAGGAAATTCCTTTCTGCTGAAGAAAACATACTTATTGCTGGGTGAAGAGCACTGGGAGTTGGATGCTTTTGCAATTAAATAATGAGCTACTCAGTCGTTTGCTTTTAGCCAGTACAATCCATTCCACTGACAATGAGACAGTGCTCCATAAACCTGTGCTCAAATAGATAAGACTTTTCCATTTTCCCTTCTTTTTCAGCAATCTGTAAAACTCCACCATCTAGTGAAGTCACATAATAGCATTACAGTCTCTGTATGTGGGAGAAAAGGTAAGTTACATTATTTTAGATCTATGTGCTATTTATATGAAATCAGAAAAGAATTTAAATTTTATTTCTGATTGCTCCTGTTACTCCCATCTTCATATTCATTTTTCCTTAGGCATTTGCTCAAAGGGATGAGGAACTTAAAAAAAATTTTTTTTTACCTTAAAAACTACTTTATTGGGGTAGAATTAACATTTGTTAAACTTAACATATTCATGGTGTACAATCTGATAAGTTTGGCATATGTTATACTCCCATGAAACTATCATAATCATCAAGATATTGACCATTAATCACTCCCAAAATTTGCCTTGGGCCTGTTTTTAGTTTTTTTCTCTTCCCGTTCCTTCCTTCCCCACCATCCCTCAGGCAATCATTTATGAGCTTTCTGTCACTGTAGATTCATTTCCAGGCTCAATATTTTATATAAATTGTATTTGACAGTATGCATTCTTTGGGTCTTTTATAATGTATTTTTGGTTAATTTTGGGATTTATCCATTTTATTAAGTGTATGAATCATATTCCTTTTATTTCTGAGGCTATCTCATTGTGTGGATATATCAGTTTGTTAATCTATTTACTTGTTGATGCATATTTGGGTTTCAGTCTTTGGCTAGTCCAAGCAATGGTGCTATGATCATTTAGGTACAAGCTGTATATAGACCTACTCTTTCATTTCTTATGGGAAAACACCTAGTTATGGAACAGCTGGGACATGTACTTGACAGATATTGAACATTTTAAGAATCTGTCAATCTTTTGTCCAAAGTGGTGGCACGTTTTGTGCCAGCTGTGTAAGAGTTCTAGGTGCTCCACACTCTTGACAACACTTGGTATGTCAGTCATTTTCATTTTGGTCACTTTAGTGTGTAGTGGTATCTCATCACTGTTTTAATTCGCATTTCCCTAATGACTAATGGCATTGAACATTTTTTCAAATGCTCATTTGCCACTCGTATATCTTTTTTGATGAAGCATTTGTTCAAATCTGGTGTTTATTAGGTTATTTTTATTATTAAAATTGAGAGTTTATTCTATATTATGGTTACATGTCCTTTATCAGATAAATGATTTGCAAATATTTTCCCTCAGTCTATGACTGACCTTCCCACTCTCTTTACAGTGTTTTTCAAAGAGCAGATATTTTTACTTTTGTTAAAGTCCAGTCTATCAGTGTTTTCTTTGGTGGATCATGCTTTTGATGTCATTTCTAAGATATATTTGTCAAGGTCACCATGATTTTCTATATTGTCTTTTAGAGTTTTAGGTTTTATGTGTAGCTCTATATTGCATTTTGAATTTTTTTTTTATTTAGGCTTATTTTTTGCAAAAAAGATATCCAAATGTTCCAATACCATTTGTTGAAAAGACTATCTTTTCTCCACTGAATTGACTTTTCACCTTTTGTCAAAAATCAGTTGTTCATATATGTATGGATCTATTTCTTGATTCCCTATCCAATTTTATGGACCTATTTGCTTTTTAAATATGTAAATACCACACAATGTTGCTTTATAATAAGTCTTGAAGTAGGGTAATGTTAGTTATCCAGCTTTGCCCTTCCTTTCTTCTGTCTTTCTCTTTTTTGAGACAGAGTCTGGCTCTGTGACCCAGGCTGTAGTGCAGTGGTGTGATGTTGGCTCACTGCAATCTCTGCCTCCTGCATTCAAGTGATTCTCTTGCCTCAGCCTCCTGCAAAGCTGGGATTACAGTTATGCACCAACATGACCAGCTAATTTTTGTATTTTTAGTGGAGACAGGGTTTTATTATGTTGGTCAGGCTGGTCTCAAACTCCCGACCCAATGATCCACCCGCCTCAGCCTCCCAAAGTGCTGGGATTACAGATGTGAGCCACTGTGCCCAGCCTGGTCTTCTTTTTCAGAGTTATTTTGACAGTACTGAGCCTTTTGGGTTTCTATATGACTTTTGAACTCAATCTGTCAATTTCTTTAAAAAATGCTGGGATTTCTTTAGAATTACAATTATTTATAGAAATATAGGCTTAAATTTGTCAATCTTTAGAAGCTCATTTAAAAATCAGTTAACATTTCTCATTCAATATTAATATGAAATGTACAATAACATAAACAATTGTCACAAATAAGATTCAAAGTTACCAATGTTTTATGAGATATTTTCCATAACCTGGAATTGCTTCCTTAGAGTATTCCTAGAATGTCTACTGATCTGTCTATTAAAGTCATACAGTGGGAACAAATGTCAATTTTCTTTGCCAAGAACATACCATAGATGAATATGAAAAACAGTTCTGCAAGCCAAAATCTCATCTGTACACACTTAAAATGTAGCTCTCTCTTTAAAAATAATAATTTGTAATACATTCTGAAAAACAAACATGCTCCACACCTGGCTGGGGTACCAGTGTTTAGCCATAAGTGCAGTGATACCGGCTCTGTAATTACTGAAACTGATAAGTATATTCTAGGTTGTGGAAATATGTATGTGTTTTTATATTAGTAACTCTTTTTGGCATCTATTTCAGGCTTGTTTATAATGTACACATGTAGAATATAAAGTTCAAAATATATTCTAGTGATGTAATCAAACAATTAAAGGAAATAAAATATTTTTAAGGGGAATATAATGCTTTTTCTGGTTAAACATGTATTTATTTTAGTATATGAATAATTTCTTTAGTGGTGATTTCTGAGATTTTGGTGTACCCATCACCTGAGCAGTGTGCACTATACTCAGTGTGTAGTCTTTTGTCTTTCACTCTCCTCCCAACCTTTCCCCTGAATTCCCAAAGTACATTGTATCATTCCTAGGCCTTTGTGTTCTCATAGTTTAGCTCCCACTTATGAGTGAGAACATACAATGTTTGGTTTTCCATTCCTGAGTTATTTCACTTAGAATAATATAGTCTCCAATTCCATCTAGGTTGCTGCAAATGCCATTATTTCATTTTTTATGGCTGAATAGTATTCCATGTTACATATATGCCACATTTTCTTTATCCATTTATTGATTGATGTGCATTTGGGCTGCTTCCATATTTATGCAATTGCAAATTATGCTGCTATAGACATGCAGATTTAAGTGTCTTTTTCATAGAATGACTTTTTTTCCTCTGGGTAGATACCCAGGAGTCGGATTGCTGGATCAAATGGTAAATATACTTTTCATTCTTCAAGGAATCTCCATACTGTTTTCTATAGTGTTTGTGCTGGTATTCCCACCAACAGTGTAAAAGTGTTCCCTTTTTGCCACCTCCTTGTGAACATCTATTATTTTCTGATTTTTTGATTATTTTGGCCATTCTTGCAGGAGTAAGGTGATACCCACATTGTGGTTTTGATTTTCATTTCCCTGATCATTAGTGATGTTGAGCACTTTTTCATATGTCTCTTGGCCATCAGTGTATCTTCTTTCAAGAATTGTCTATTCATGTTCTTAGCCCAATTTTTGTTGACATTGTTTTTTTCCTTGCTGATTTGTTTGAGTTCCCTATAGATTCTGGGTATTAGTCCTTCAACGAAAGTATAGATTGCAAAGATTTTTTTTCCCACTCTATGGGTTTTCTGTTTATTCTGCTGTTTATTTCTTTTGCTGTGCACAAGCTTTTTAGTTTATAAGTACCATCTATTTATCTTTTTTTTTTGGCATTTGCTTTTTGGTTCTTGGTTATGAAGTCTTTGACTAAGTCACTGTCTCAAAGGATTTTTCCAATGTTATCTTCTAGAATCTTTATGGTTTCAAGTCTTAGGTTTAAGTCTTTGATCCATCTTGAGTTGATTTTTGTATAAGGTGAGAGATGAGGATCCATTTTAATTCTCCTACATGTGGCTAGCCAATTATCCCAGCACCATTTGTTGAATAAGGTGACCTTTCCCCACGTGATGTTTTTGTTTGCCTTGTCAAAGATTAGTTGGCTGTAAGTATTTGGATTTATTTCTGAGTTCTCTCTTGTGTTCCATTGGTCTATATGCCCATTTTTTATACTAGTACCATGGTGTTTTGGTGACTGACCTTATAGTATAGCTTGAAGTTGGATAATGTGACGCCTCCAGATTTGTTCTTTTTTCTTAGTTTTGCTTTGGCTATGCGGGCTCTTTTTTGGTTCGATATGAATTTTAGGATTTTTTTTTTCTAGTTCTGTGAAGAATGATGGTGGTATTTTCATGAAAATGTGTAGAATGATTTTGGCAGCATGGTCATTTTTACAATATTGATTCTACCCCTCCATGAGCATGAGACCTATTTCCATTTGTTTGTATCATCTATAATTTCTTTCAGCAGTGTTTCATAGTTTTCCTTATGAAGGTCTTTCACTCTTTGCTTAGGCCTGCTTCTATGTATTTCATTGTATTTTGCAGCTATTATAAAAGGGGTTACAAGCTGATTCGCAGCTTGGTCACTGTTGGTGTATAGCAAAGCTACTGATACGTGTACATTAATTTTGTATCCTGCTGGATTTTGCTGAATTCATTAACCAGTTCTAGGAGCTTTTTGGATGAGTTTTTAAGGTTGTCTTGGTATACTATCATATCATTCATGAACAGCGACAGTTTGACTTCCTCTTTACTGATTCAGATGCCTTTAATTTCTTTCTCTTGTCTGATTTCTCTGTCTAGAACTTCCAATATTATGTTGAATGGAAGTGGTGAAAGCAGGCATCCTTGTCTTGTTTCAGTTCTGAGGCGAAATGCTTTCAAATTTTCCCTATTCAGTATAATGTTGGCTGTGGGTTTGTCATAGATGGCTTTTATTACCTTAAGGTACGTCCCTGCTATGCTAATTTTGCTGAGGGTTTTAATCGTAAAGGGATGCTGGATTTTGTCAGCTGCTTTTTCTGCATCTATTGAGATAATCATGTGATTTTGTTTTTAATTTTCTTTATGTGGCATATCACATTTATTGATTGTGGATGTTAAATCATCCCTGCATTATTGGTATGAAACCCACTTGATCATAGTGGATTATCTTTTTGATATGCTGCTGGATTCAGATAGCTAGTGTTTTGTTGAGGATTTTTGCAC